TTCTTAAAAATATTTTACGCTGTATTTGATGTTAACTTTCCTATTATTGAAAAAACAATTAAAATGAAAAATTTTAATAACCCTTGGGTTACAAAGGGTTTCAAAAAATCATCTAAAACAAAACAGAAGTTGTATATAAAGTATCTTAAAACGAAATCATCTAAAAATGAAAAAATATACAAAGATTATAAATATTTGTTTAAAAAAGTTTGTAAACGCTTAAAGAAAAATTATTACTCTAGAATATTAGTCAAATTTAAAAATAACTCTAAGCGCACCTGGCAAGTAACAAAAGAAATTACTGGCAATCAAAAAACATGCTCAGGTTCCCTCCCCCAAATGATTATAGTTGATAACAAATGTATTCATGAATCAAAAGCTATATCTAACGAATTTAATAAATACTTTATCAAAATCGGCTCTAATTTAGCTAATAAAGTTCTCTTTACCCCAGTTGTTTTTAATGATTTCTTAGTACCAATGGATGATTGCAACTGTTTCAAAGAAATATACTCAGAATTATCTTTTGATGAATTCGAAATCGCCTTCAAATCACAAAAAAAAAAGAAAAGCTATCGGAGCTGATGGAATTAATGGTGACATAATTATCAAGTGTTTTAATAATCTTAAAGATATTCTTTATAAAGTTTATAAATCATCTGTCCAACAAGGAGTTTTTCCTGATCGACTAAAAATTGCCAAAATCCCGGGTTTTGTACAAATTGTTCATCCCGAAATCCCGGGATTAGTCTCCAAAATTCCCGGTATTTCGGGATCGTCAAAAAAAAGGAAAAGTTAATAAAGTTTAACCTTATAATTGTAGTTTAGTAATTTTTATATTGTCTTTGGTATAGTAGCTGTTTGCTTGTGTAATTATTCTCTTTGCAATGTTTTTCTTTTGAAATTCTTTTTTTCTGTATTTTATTAAAAATAAAATTCAAAACATTATTGCTTGTCTGTAAAATGTATATATGTTTATATATACATATATATATATATATATATATATATATATATATATATATATATATATATATATATATATATATATATATATATATATATATATATATATATATATATATATATATATATATATATATATATATATAATATATAAGAAAATAAAATTAATGTATAACTTTTATTAAAAACTCTTGCCCTTTCTACCAGCAAGCGCTTATATTTTTGTTATTATTTATGATATACTAGTTTTGATATTATACTATATATATTTTATATTATAATATTAAAACTTGTATATTATAAAAACAAATGAAATTTAAGTGCTTGCTGGTAAAAAGAGCAAGACTTTTTAATAGAAGGTATACATTAATTTAATTTTGAATTTTCTGCTTCCAAAAGTATGCACGATTTTAATTCCATTTTTATATCCATTCATTTTAATTTCAAATGTTTTTTTAACGTCATGCATATTTATATATTTTTTTAATTTTTATTATTATTTATATTGTGTTGCCATTTTAAGGTATTGTTATATAATTTATTATACGAAGGTTTATTAATTTTTAAAAGTCTTAAATAAGTTTTAATACAAAATTAAGTTAAAACATGATTCAACCTAATTTTAGAGCTTCATTAATGTATAAAATGTTTTAGTTATACTATCATTAAACTATTCATTTTTAAGTGTTTGATGAGTGCTTAAAAAGTATTCAATTGCGTTTGCGTTTTTTTTTATTCAATCCCAGGATTTCCCGGGGACAAATTGCTCAATCCCGAAATCTCGGGATTGAAAATATCCGGTATTTTTGCCATCCCTAGAGACAAACCATGACAAAATAAAAAATTTAAAAGAAAAAAATATTAAACTTTTTTTTGTTTTCGATGCTATTTACATTTTATTTACAAAAAAGTTAGTTGCTTTGAAAAACGATGTTAAATATTTTATTATATATGTTGTCTTTTTATTAAAAAAAAAGAAATTAAAAAATATGGATACAAGTGTTGCAGTTGCAGAAGAGAATGTTTATATTGGTTCGTCTTTCGAAACTCGTCCTAGGCAGCTGGAAAGTGGTGGTAGGGGTCAATACTGTTGTGTACCAATGTGTATAAATGCTAGGTATGACAAGCATAAAAATAAAACAAACAATTGGTTTATTTACTTTTCCTAAAAGCAAACCTCAATTGTTAAAAAAGTGGATTAATGTATTTAATAGCATTCGACAACAAAGAGGAGTAGATAACATTAATGTTGAAAAGAAGTATACGAATTTCATTTTAATATAAATGATATTATCTTAAAACCTTGTTCTGGAAGAAAAACACTTCATAAAGATTCTATACCGTCTATTTTTGTGTTTAAAGAAAACATTATTAAAAAAAATAGAAAAATTTCAAAAAAAATATTACCTTGCAATATAACGACAGAAGCTTTAGAAAGTGGAACTTGTTCTAGTATAAAAACAGATATAAATTTTCATATCAAGCATCCCAAAGAAAACGTTGCTTATGAAAATTGTCAACATTTAAAAGAGCAGTTAGAGCAACTTAAAAAAGAAAACGATTTCCTTAAAAATGAAAACCTAACATTAACAATAATGAACTCCAAAATTAACAAGGGGATTGAAAGTAAAAAACAAAACGAATTCAATTATAAAAGTATTTCTACTGAGCCAAAGTTGTTCAAATCTTTTACTGGTTTAGAATTAGACAGATTCAATGATGTATTTTTTTTGGTGGACCCAGGTGAAAACTGTGAGTTTTTAAAATTTTATGATTCTCAGTCAAGTATTGAAAAAAAACAAAGCAACATAGAATCGATGCCAAAAAAAGGTCTGTAACCAAAATTATGTGCACTTGATCAGTTTACTATGACTCTTTTTTATTTAAAAAATAAATTTGCACTTATTGGATCTCATATTTGATGGCTGTTTAAATTGCCAAAATCAACAATATCAAGACAGATAATATCCTGGATTATTTGTATTTTACACTTGGTAGGATTCTTATTTGGCCTTCCAGAGAACAAATTGATTTGACAATGCCAGAATGTTTTAAAATAACATACCCAAGTTCAAGGTGCTTTATTGATTGCACTGAGTTGTTTTGTCAAATACCATCATCCTTAAATATTCAGAGTTGTATGTATTTAAGTTACAAAAGTCATGTTACATACAAGGGATTACTAGGTATATCTCCTTCTGGTGCTATAATATTTGTAAGTCAGTTGTATCCTGGATCAGTATCAGATAAGGAAATAGTAATAAGAAGCGGATTTTTAAATAAAGATCTTTTGGATAAAGATGATTCATTATAGATAGATGGTTTACAATTGAAGAGGAATTATAAACATCAGTGTACGTCTTAACATTCCTTTATTTTTAGAAGGTCGAAACCAATTTACATAGGCTGAGGTTAAAGAAAGCGTGCTATCCAAAGAATAAAGCGGTATAAAATAATACGTAATGAAATAACACTATCTTTACATGGTTCAGCCAATCAGATTTGGACGGTTATTTGTCTACTTACAAACTGGGAAAGTTTTTGAGATTATCAAATCATTTCTTTTTAACCGGTTTATTAAAGTCATCCTTGAAGGCCAACACTCTTCTTTATTTCCTGTAAATTCTGGGGTTCCCCAAGGTTCCATCCTGGGCACTGTTTCGTTTCTTATCTACATAAACGATCTTCATCTAAAGTAGCTCTTTTTGCTGATGACTCAACTTTATACTCCTGTCTTGACAAAAAAGGCTTCTCTTTTCGATCGCCTAGAACAAGCAGCTGATCTTGAATCCGATCTCACTTAAGTAGTAGATTGAGGTTCACAGTGGCTTGTGAATTTTAACTCTAACAAAACCCAGTTGTTTACTGCAAACAACTACCGTAATATGGTCAACATTCATATATTAATGAATGGAATCATCTTACTAAGTCCTCCTCTTTACGTCTTCTTGGATTATCGCTTACTACTGACCTTTCATGGAAACCATATACACAATTGATTGCTAAATTAGCTTCTGCTAAGGTTGCTTCTCTTTATCGTGCTCGCTATTTCCTTACTTCTGATTCCATTCTCAATCTCTACAAATCTCTTATTCGTCTCTGTATGGAATACTGTTGTCATATTTGGGCTTGTTCTTCTAACGATTCACTTTTTCTTCTTGACAAGGTCCAAAAACGCATTGAAAATGTTGTTGGACCTGGACTATCTGCTAAGCTTGAGCCTCTTTCCCATCGTCGTAAAGTTGCATTTCTTTTTCTTTTTTGATGAATACTATCATGGTCGCTGCTCAAAGGAGTTATCATCTCTAGTTCCATCAACTAAAATTCATTCTCGTTTTACTCGTTATTCAGCTAAGTCTCATTTGTTTACTGTATCTGTGTCTGCATGCTCTAAAAACATGAAGATGGGAGAGAGTTCCTTTGGAACTCTCTCCCATCTTCATGTTTTCCTGACTCATACAAGCTTCAACTTTTCAAGTCTTCTGTCAACCGTTTCCTTGCTCTCTGTTCTTTTTTTTTCCTAGTAAATCCCAACTTAATAGTGGTTGCTTGCAGCCTTGTTGGAAGTGAATGCAAATAAAAAAAAACAACTTCCAATCACCCTTAATAAACGATAATGAAAAAACTACATGATATTAACTAAAAGAATATATTTTTTACTAATGACCTACTTTTTAAAAATGTAATTTTTATTTGTATTATAATTTATTGTTCAATTTGACTTGTCTCAAGTTCAACAATAGCAGGTTAAAGATATTTGATATAAAATAAGTTATGTTTATTTACAACATCTTTAAAGAACATTATATTAAAAGAAATTCGAATAATAATGCATCCTTTAAACGTATAAACGATGAAATCACAAAATGTTACTTGTGATATGGGCATTTTATTTCTATCAATCCAAATTCATTATTTAATTCTCCGTTAATTAACATACCATCAGGGGATGCAGCAAGCCATGGTAGTTTAGGCTGTATAACAATCCCAATGTATAAACGTTTTGTAATAGGCTACAAACTAGTAGTCAAAATACCTTAATCACAGAGGTAATTATGATCACTTTTACCAATCTCGTTTTACTTTTATTCAATACAGAGACAGGTGTCTGCAGACAAGACTTTTTTTGCTACTTTCCTTTTTGCTGCTACTCCCTTCACCTTAAAATTGCTACCGCTAGTAAAACAATTTAGTTCATTTTTTTTTTAAATAACATTAGTTATAATTCATAAAATGTTTTGCAATAGGCTACAAATTAGTAGTAAAAATACCTTAATCACAGAGGTAATTATGATCACTTTTTCCGATCTCGTTTTACTTTTGTTTAATACAGAGACAGGTGTCTGCAGACAAGACTTTTTTAATTCTTGATGTTCATTAAAATCTTGTGAGTCACTATCATAATTTTCATCAGGTTACTTCTGTACTCTAAATATATAAATCTAATGTTAAAATATAGTTTATAGAAATTTTTATGGTATATTATAAACACCTTAAAGTATACATTAAAAAGTATACATGAAATTAAAATTAATACCTTAAGATATTACGATGTTCAGTAAAAATGATTTTAAGGCTAAACATTAACGGAGATAATAAGTGTATACTTTAGTCAACAAATAATAATTAAAACTTAATGAAGTACTTGTTTTACTCAACGCCAAATTAATAATAAAGAAATTTTTAAAAAATATAACTAAGGTTGAATAAATATATAGAATAAAGGAAAATAAAGGTGGGGTATGATGACAATGATAGTGAGATCATATAAAATGTAGCATAAAAAATACATACATATAATGAATTTTATTTAAATACATAAAAAACACAAACTTAAATAAAATTTTAGGATGCATTAACATTTAAGCAGCTCTGGTCATAGATCAGCAAATTGAATTAGTGAATTCTTGTGCGATATTATGCTGAGAAGATCAAATTGCTAAATAACCCTTTAGTTCATCTACTACAATATTCTTATCACTTTTATCTGAATCGTTATCAGATAAAGCTTCAAATTCACTAATTTCATTATGAATTTGATAAGAAATATTGAGGTTATTATCCAGGGCAGTGATGTTGGAGGGTTCATTATCTGAAGTGTTCAAACTATATTTTTTGCAAACGCTTTGAACGACTGTTTTGGGCAAAGCGTCAATAGGCTGAGGAAAATAAAACCCAATTTTACCTCTGTAATTATAATAAAACTATAACTATGCCTATAACTATGTAGTCGTAGTTATAGGCTCCATCAATAACCATTTAGATGTTGTTTCAACTCAATATCTGGTAAAAGTACTTTTGTGCTGTCTGTTGCTTGATTAATCTGCTCAACTGCTGATTGTTAAGTAGTCGCCACCATTTAATAGATTATTTTCCATTATTAAAAGAATAGCCATATTTTTTTTGCAAGCTTGCCAGCATATACCAAGAATTTTTCTTTTTAAAAACTTTTTTTTGCTGATTTTGCACCAATCTCAGCTTCTCTATTTATCCAGCTTTACAATGTTGCTCGGGGTACTTTGAAAAATTTAGCAGCAGCTCTAACATAAATTTTAGGTGAACTAATAACACTGTTTATAGCTTCAAGTAACACTTCCTCTTTATATTTCACGTATTTACCTCGAGTTGGATGGCATTGTTTCTTATTATGAATTTTATTTTTGTTATTAGCCATTCTAAAATAAAAACTTTATTTTATAAATTATTAAAATTTTCCATTAAAAAAAATTAAAGATTGTCTCATCATCCTTATATTTTAAAAATATTATATAAATATTTAACTAAATAAATGCACATATTTAAGATTGATAACTTTTAGGACATAAATGTAACATAAAGTACTTATATTAAAAGAATAAAATCTAATAATATAAATATCATACAAGTATGTGTTACTTTTAGACACTTGTGAACCTAATTTCGGCCTTGGCCGGAATAAGGTTTTTACCTGGCCGAATTTTGGTCTTTCTACCAGGTGTAATTAATTAAGAAATACAATCTATAGAAATGACTCAACATAATTCTAAAGCTAAAATTGTCTTTTTAAGAAATATATTTATAGAATTCTAAAATTTTATAAAATTCTAAAATTTTTTTAATAGTTTAAATAGTTTAAAATAATTAACATTTTTGAATAGTTTTAATAGTTTAAATAGTTTGAAATAATTAACATTTCGTTAAGTATTATTTATTTAATGTTTTTAAGCTTCAAACAAGATGCTTACGTGATATTTTAAATCTAAAGTAATATATATATATATATATATATATATATATATATATATATATATATATATATATATATATATATATATTCAAACAAGTTTTATAAAAATAAATATTTCTAAATGGGTTCTAATTTTAAGTTCTGTTAACTTACCATTTATTTAAAGTATTGTAGCGTTATTTTATTTCATTGCCGCAATGAAAGTTAAATAGCCGTTAACGGCTGGGCTTTTTCAAATAACTTTTGATGCGCGCGCAGAACTTATTGTGCTTTCAGATGGGACGAAAAAACTCACCGCAGGGCCTTATTGAACTGGCCTAGAGTTTAAAGCCGTGCTTAGAACATATCACTTGCTGGCTGACAGTTTTAGCAAGTGGCTAAAAGCTGAGCAACTTGGCCAACTAGCTAATACTGACTGACCAACAAAGTTGCTGGCTTCTGGCTGCGCAAATTGCTCTGAATTATAATTAGTATTGTTTTCAACAAAAAGAAAATAAATTTAAGTTTAAATTATTTTTTTTCAATTAAAGTTAAAAATCAAATAAGACTGATATTGTCATGAATAAAGATAGTCATGTTCATATTGGAAGAACTTAATTTGCTTCTTCTTGAGTTCAAAATCAATCCAGTTAATGAAAACATGGATTCCACTGATACACTCGAGGTTGGTATGCTAAAATACTCTTTTGCAAGCACTGCTAAGTGTGGATACTTTGCATGATGATTTCGCCAAAACAATAAACAATCCAGTTCTTCATCTGTCGTAGGTATACGAGATATAAATTGCTCTACTTCCGAATCAATTTGATAATTTTTTTCTGCAGAAGTAACAATTTTCTTGATTTCTTGAAGTAGTTGTCCCTTAGCACTAGGACCTGATTTTGAATCTTTATCATTTTTTGACTCTGATATAACTAAAACCAGATAAATCAATTTAATAAAAACCGATATCAATAATAAACAAATGATACTTGAAGAACTCAATAATTTAATAAAATAGTAATTACTGATACTGGTTTAATAACTATTCTGTTTTCCACAATTAATATAAAAAAGTTAATTTTTAATAAAGTTTATTTGTGTTTCAGTAAATTTTTCCAAAACAAAAACTTATTTTATTGATGTTATTAGTTGTATAGACATATAATAACTTGAATTAAATCTAAATGGGTCACTTTTATGTTTAATGCATTCTCCAACAAACTTTCCTTTATTTCATCTCTTGTATATAAAATTTTTGTGGCTGGATCTAAAAAACAGCATAGTTTTGCAGAAGTTAATAACTTAAGTCTTTGGTCAATTTTTTTAGAGCAACATTCCTTTAGCTTTTTTATTTCACTCAAATTACAAGAATTAATTGAAAGTAGTTTTAGTATTTTGTGTTTAACTAATGGCAAAATAGAAAGCGAATTTCCAGCACTGATCACATGGGTTAATGATTCAAATGGTTTTAAAAATTTAACCAATTCTGAAATCAAGGCTTGTTCTTCATTATCTAAACAAAGGTTTTGTCTACCACATGTCTTGAATAAAATTTCTACAGGATCTAATAATTGGTTAAATGATTCTATCATAAAGAGAGCACTGTTCCATCTTGGGCGTATTTGCTGTTTCAGACTTCTATGGTGTCTTTTTATGAAATTATCATCAAATTTTTCTTTACAAACAATATCTAAATTGTTTGCTTCAATCATGTTTGCTTCATCATAAATTTGAATGGGAAATTGCTGCTCTAAATCATCAATGTCTTTCACTTCAGCAAGGTTTCGAAGATTGTTGTATAACTTTATGTCTGCTTCACAATGTGATTCCTCTAAAAGAAAAGTTGACTTGAAGTTCAGGCAGGTTACAATTTGTCTGCATTTTTCTAACAAACATTTTGTTTCAGTACAACTATTTATGCCATCACATGTCAATATTAAATGCAAGATATGAGCCAGACAATGTTGTGGATCCTTCGAGCCTAAATGTTTAGATGTTTTTATCATATTCGCTGCTCCGTTGTGCACAATATGTAGCCTCATATCTTTACAACGCCTCTGAAAAAATTCTTGAACAATGTCTTTGATAAAATTATGAAAATTTTCACCTTTATGACTTTCTAAAGGCAAACAAGCCAAGGTAAAAAATTTTTTATGCCAGTTTTCATTAATAATGGAACACTTCAGACCCATATAATTAATTTTTTTGTACTTTGAAGAATCATCTATTTCTTGTTCACAAGTAGTAACAGACAAACCTGCCGTCGGCAGGTTTGTCTGTTACCACTTTGTTTGTGTTTAATTCGGCTAATTTAAGTTGAAAAATGTTAGAGCGATAAAAAATCATTATAAGCCAAGAATATTTAAAATATGAAACAAGTGGCGGACGTTGATGTACTTATATAAAGGAGGAGTGTGTCGTTACTATTTCATCTTAGAGAAAATTTAAATAGCAAAGCAAAAAGCTGCACACACAAAAAAAGATGCTCCAAATAACTTGCTGCTTTTAAGTTATACAAGAGAACTTTGGGTTATTAAACTCTTCTTTTTTTTCTTCCAGCCAACAATAGTGACTTTGAAATCGGCTGCGGTTGAATATATTGTTCGATTGGCGGCTTAGTAGTTGCTAATAACGCAAAGTGGCGGCTGTAAAAAGTAGGTACAAGTGGCGGCGGCTTTTTGCTAATAGCGGGGGCTTTGACCTCTAAACTGGCCCGAGAAGAAAAAAAGCGTATCATATGTAAATATATCAATAATTTTAAAAATATACTGAATATACTTAAATCTTTGTTTTTAACACCATTCTTTATTTGAAGATATAGTTTTGTGTTCATAGTAATTTTTTATACTTATGACGTGCTTTTAACTCACTAAAAGTTTCTTCCATAAAATCAAAATTAAAAAAAAGTTAAACAGAAATAATACTAAAATCTGTTCAAATCATAATGCAGCACTATAAGTTTTCAGTAAGTTTTTGCTGGTTTTTACGTAGGTTTAAAAGATTCAATGCCATTAAATAATTATGCTTTATTTAAGGAGTATGCTAGCACTTAACTCTCTCAACTAATCAAAAAACGCTACCGACCAAACACTTTTTAACAAAGACCAAAGCATCAATTACGTAAACAGCGAGTCATTGAGATATTTTTCAGTTAATTTTTCCTGGCCCCACCAAAGTTTATTGTCACCGGCCGCCATTGTATATATATATATATATATATATATATATATATATATATATATATATATATATATATATATATATATATATATATATATATATATATATATATATATATATATATATATATATATAATTCACATTAAGTAATTTTGTTAGAGTTAGATTAAAAGTGATATACTATCACAATGAAAGT